TATTCCATTTCCGATCTGACTTGACGTGAACTAATTTCAAAACGCAGAGTTTCAAAACGTCAAAACATTTGGTTAATGATTAACATTTAACCGAATTTAGCCGTTGATTGACAACTACATAAAAATACTAACCAATCCGTTTTTCCCGTTCACCAGCGGACGGGTAATTCAAAAACCCCTATATATATATATATATATATATATATATATATATATATATATATATATATATATATATATATATATATATATTTCTGGAACGATGCTCTGAACGACTGAGCTGAGAACTGAGAACGACTTGTTAAGTTATGATGTTAGTTGCATTTCGGAGGTTAGTCCTTCAATGCGTAAAGCCAGCTATTAGTCTGGCAATGTTGTATGTGAATGTTGTGGTTTCCCACGTTTACGATTCCACTCGTGTAACGTTATGTAGTGGTTTTTGAGTTAATAACGTTACACGAGTGGAATCGTAAACGTGGGAAACCACAACATTCATATATATATATATATATATATATATATATATATATATATATATATATATATATATATATATATATATATATATATATATATATATATATATATATATATATATATATATATATATATATATATATATATATATATATATATATTCTATATATATATATATATATTCTATAGAGTTATAGAGACACGAGTGCTAGTTTGGGAGAACGAGGAATAATCAGTGGGAACACGAGCACGTAGTGCGAGTTCGTTATTTCGTTATCGTACTCCACGTTATTTCGTTATGGTACTCCACGTTATTTCGAGTTCTCCCAAACTAGCACAAGTGTTTCTATAACTCTATAGAAACACAGGAAAAATTGTTTTCTATTTCCTTTATTAAATAACCTTGTGATAATAACACAAAAACAATATTTTTAACGCGATTAAAAAGTATATTCTCATTACACAATAACAAGAAAATGTTGCCTAGCAACAATACCGGCATCAATTTTCAGTTTTGCCGACTGCAAAATTATGGAAAAAAACACGCTGAAAAAGTTGATTTCAAAGAAAATTTAAAGCGAAAAAACGTTTGGTAAATGTTTTCCATTTATATAATTAACGTTACAAATATCTTAAAATAACAATGTTATTTCGCTACTCTGAGTTCCACGATCTTGTCTGATCGATATTCAGGCGATTCATGTCCGTTAACGGATATATATATATATATATATATATATATATATATATATATATATATATATATATATATATATATATATATATATATATATATATATATATACTGTATATATACGGAAAGTGTTGAAGTATACAACCACCTGTGGAAGTTGTATATATGAGCGAAAAAAGCGACATGCAGTCTGAAACCGTATACGAAACAAGTCGACAGGTGGGTTGACGTAAATGTCCCTAATTCGAAGGCAGTTTTTGCATTGCTAACGGCAGGAACGACAGGAGCTTCGATATTGGACGCCATTTTCAATGTAAAATTTAGCCGTGAAACCGTTTATACAGTCATATGAACTTCGCGACTTAAATTGGCCGCGGTTTGTTTTGGACGAGCTCTGAAGCCTCGGTTAATTTAGGCCGCGCGTCTTTAGTTATTTTAGTCGCGAACAAATTGTCCATTTATACGACTGTTCGCGACTTAGGTATTTAAGCCGGGGCCTTATCCAGGTGCGGCTTATTTTCGCTCGTAGAAATGGTCCTATTTATTTCTTTATGTGTGATATTTGGGGAAACAATTTTCGACATTATGCAGCATGCATGAAACACCATAAAAATTCATATAAGAGCGTTTATATATATATGACTTGCTCTTTTGTATAGGCATATTGTGATATGTCGAACAAAGGTTGGACTCTTATTGCACGTTTCTCAAACAATGATTCTAAATACTGGATTGCAAATGGCAACTTTTGGTATGACAGAGTAATTCCTCATGAAGACACAGGCAGCCCTCTTAAGAATAAAGACATGATATCCACGGCTTTCTGGAAAGTCAGAGGCGACGATTTTAAGATTACACGAAGCGATGACTCCAGTCATACAGCCTTACTACAAACCACTTCCCATTGTCTTCAAGGCGGGACGTTCAGATCTAAAATCACAAGTTATGGAAACTATCGTAATAGTGCAGTTTGGGCAAGTAACGAATGTCGTGGGAATTGTTCGGTTAGTTATGGCGGTCAGTACAAAACTACAGCAGGTTTTGAACAGCACAGTTGCAGCGGCAATGTTCAGAGTAGTAACTACACTGGGTTTTGGTGTGATTGGGGTGTTGGTGATGGTGCAGTGATGATGATTGGTGGTGGAGGAAGTGGTTGCGCCAGAGCAGATCATGGTATTGGAATAACAGAAGAAAATGAAGCAAAGTTTGGTGGAAGCCTACCACATTATGATTTTGGTTACAACGCAGACAACAATCCTCCTTCAAAATATTCGCTCAACTTGTGGGTTCTTTAAATATCCTAATTCTGGTTCAATAAACATACATTTATCGAACATATTGTCCAAGGCAATTCAGTAATCATAACATGACACGCAAATCGCGGTTAAATTCTGCCGTCATGCAGTCCATCTAGTGTATAGAAAGGGTTTACTAGCTTGTATTTACTGCCATTTTATAAAATTATAGGATATTAATTTCGTGGTTTATATCCGACAGGGACAAAGTTGGGATTATTTTTCATTGATTATTAAAATAACTCGTGACTATTACCATAATTGCATACAAGGGGAAGGGGGGGGGGAGCTGTCGTCCAGTGAAAATGGGGAAAATCACAAATGTAAGTTGAGCAAACAGACGGGGGAAACTTTAAAACGAGAAATATTTAAGATAAAAGTCGAAAATGTATAATATTTTTCAGATTACAGTGGAAAATGGAAGAAACCTACATGCAAGCTTTCGAAAAAGTTTTACTACTTCAAAAAACTTTCAACGTTGGCACGGGGAAATGTTTTGGATAAGTCGGTCAACCTGCCCGTGTATTAATTTAACTATTAACTTAATATCAGGGAGTACATATAGGTGGCCAAAAAAATTTCTTTCTACCCCCTAATTCCCCCCTCCCGCGTAGGCCTATATGTCTTCAGCAATGCAGAGAATTGTGTTTCACGCATGCTGTCTCATGCATACAGCACAATATAAAGAATGTCAGTGTAGATGTTAAATCATGCATTTACATCTAGTACGTTTATTTAATTGCAAAGCTTTAGACCCGTTTAAATTACCTCAGTATTCAGGGTACTGAATTATTCTTGCTGCATGCATATATTAATCTATTTATTTCAATATAAATCACAAATTTTATCTAACTATGATATAATGATTATATACTGTTTGTAGTGATAAAATAAAATAAAATGCAGCGTTTAGAATTCTGTCAAATTAATTTATAGTAGTATGTATCTCTCCTTGGCTATTACATTCGTTGTAATTTGTCAGGGATTTCTATTTTAGATATGTGACGTTTCAAAAAATCTCCAACACCAGACGACAGCCTTGAAAGCCACAGCCAAATTAAGTTTGCATCCCAGCCAAGCACGTAACGAATCTTTGGATTCAGTGAGGTCACAGCATCAACAATTGCCTCAGTGACCACGTGAACATTGGGTGAGGCACATATGTCCACTACGCCAGATAACATGTTGTCTTTGGCTACAGAAGCAATAAATGAAATAAATATCTGAGCCTCTTAATTTTATTTCACGTTGAATTAAAGAAACAAATTGCAAAGAACAGTGCAATTTACCAATCAAGCTTGGATAGGATATAAATTATTGAATTTCGATTGGTTTCAATTTCGAGGTTGTCGTTGCACAATTCAACTGAGTCAAATTAGGTTTAAGGTACTCGTGCACGAGAATTAATTGTTGTTTAGTCAACAAAAACTGAGCAACAAAAACTGGATAACCCACAGAAATATCCCTGAAAGCATGCGATGGAACCAACCAACGTAAACCTAATACCTAAACAAGTAAACAGTACCCTACCATAAACCTACAGTATAGTGCCAGACTGTGAACTTTCAACCTACAATCTTGGACAAAACCCTTGAGACCATTTCAGCTAATATTACAAAGTTATTGAACATTGACAAAACAAACTTTGTCCCCCCCTCCCCCCAGTTCAATGTTGTGAACAACGCCGAAACAACTTTTGGTAATATACCATGATACAAGCTCAACATTGAGTTGGGGGAGCGGGGGTTTAAAAATGGCAACATGATTCAACGTGGAGTTTATCATAAAAATGCGCGAATTTTCTATGGGGGGGAAATAGTCGCAACCAGTTGTGTCCAAGATTGTCTGAATATGGGAATTTTACAAGCATACCAATTGTTTGAGAGTTATGGTTAGAAAGGCAGATAAGTTAGTGTTGCGATGGAGGAAAAATTATTAAATATATGTTACACTGCAAGGACTGTAGGTAACCGAAATTTTTATCCATATTAGCAATCGTTCCAGGCGATACAAAATCTATATTTATATTGTAAGTAAAGGGAAATTAATTAGGAGGACATAATACACGTCTGGATGAAAGTAAATTATTTATTGGATTTTTGGTAAACTTGATTTCTACCTTATTCCATATCATCATTGAAAGCTTCGTATAGTGAATGTAAAAACATATCCAACACTAAAAGTAACCGAATTGGTCAAACTTGATAACATGGTTTGCTCAGAAAACGCCTATTCACTCTAACGTGCGAACGTTCCCTGGTCCATTTGAACCAATTAGCTACTGCTACAGAACATTTCTACAGAGTTTCAAAAGAAATGGAATCATGGACATGCTAAACGTTGTCTACACAGCTATTTTCATACCTATACACAGCAACACTTGAACGTGATATTTACATAATTGAATTAAATCCCAATGCATGTGTCTCGACCTCTATGCCCTAGTAACATGATATTACTCGCTTCTGGCAGTAGAAAACTATATATTTTAGATGAAACAACAAGAAAAATTCATGCGTTTCATGCGTATATTTTAGGATGTGACAAGTTCGAATAGGCATTATTTTGCTCACTTTTCATGCAAACGAATATATATATATTGCTCGAAAAACAAGAAGTAACGTGTATATCCGTCTTTCAGACTACTGGAGTGGAAGAAAATTAAAAAAGATTGAGTTATAATGCACAATTAAATTCAGTGTGCTTCAGACAATCTTGGACAAAACCCTTGAGACCATTTCAGCTAATATTACAAAGTTATTGAACATTGACAAAACAAACTTTGTCCCCCCTCCCCCCAGTTCAATGTTGTGAACAACGCCGAAACAACTTTTGGTAATATACCATGATACAAGCTCAACATTGAGTTGGGGGAGCGGGGGTTTAAAAATGGCAACATGATTCAACGTGGAGTTTATCATAAAAATGCGCGAATTTTCTATGGGGGGGAAATAGTCTCAACCAGTTGTGTCCAAGATTGTCTGAATATGGGAATTTTTAGTCGGACGCATCATTGACACGCGCCCTTATTATTATTATTATACAATATTAGATACTCCCAATTGGGCTTTTCAGGATCTAATTACAAATATAAAATTCTATATCTATAAAAGTATCTAAAAATGAATTTTGAGTTTTGACCTAAGCAATGTCAAAAGCCCTTAAACAAAACATTCAGCGGATACTCTTCATAGATAGGTATATACTTCGTGTGACCCCTATTATAATGTATCAAGGCTAATTCCTGTCCCCCACCCAACCCAACCCCGCCCCTAACCTCTAACCCCGGGTTCGAGATTGCGTTCGACTATCAATGAGGAGTCCGACTGTCTACGGAAAAAATTGCGCCGGCGATGCAGGTAAATGAGGTAATTAAGGTAAGAACAACCTGTTGTGATTTTGAATGAAAGTAAAACTATAGTACGTACTTTTCTTCAAGAATTCTTCGCCATATTCCAACTTCTTATCTTCAGATAATCTTGACCACATTTGCTCCAATTGAGAACCTAATACGTTCTTTTCTATCATGTTGGTTTTAAAGAACCCAGGTTCAACAAGAATAGTCTTTATTCCCCAGTTACAAAGCTCAACACGTAAAGCATCTGTGAATGCTTCAACTGCAAATTTACTTGCACAATATGCGCCCATGTAGGGAAGACTGAGGCGACCTAAAAGAAATATATTTGCCTTATTTGCACCAAACAGAAATTCAGAAACTAGTGGAGCACTACTAACTGAACTAAGGTCTTAAACCCGTAACATGACCCCAGTATCATTAAACCTTCTGTTTATACCCTTGAACGGTCTGCTGCCAGTAATAACAAAATTTAGGTTGATAGGGATGCAACTACCTGAAAAAATAGAAGGATAACTTCGACGTTTCGAGCGAATGTCCTTCGTCGGGAACTTAGTAGCGGGGGTCGGGAAAATTACATGACCTTTTATACTGGTATACAAAAGCGATCATGTGACAAAAAGTAAACCAATCAGGTGAATATAGTCAAAGCACATAGTGTAAACAAAAATATATAAATCACATTACAGAATATATTAATACAAACTAACAAACATACAGCAAACTACAACAAATACAAAAAGCAGAAAATAACATTCTACTAGTGGTACCTCATCTTTTGTGAATTTCAGTAAATGTTGGGGAGTATATAACATAAAGTGGAAGTAGCAGAATGTTGACCATACCTCCAATGCTCGAGACGTTTATTAAATGTCCACCGGACATCTTTAAAAGCGGTAAAAATGTTTTAGTGACATCAATCAATCCCCATAAATTGACATCCGCCATCTTTTTCATTTCCTCCAAAGTTTGCCAATCCAGAGGTCCAATGCGAGAAACACCAGCATTATTGATCACTGACCATAGATCTTAAAAGAAATATACAACATAAATATTCCTATAGCTGTTTCGATTATAAAACTGTAGGCAAACTAAGGGACTATTGTGACTTGAAAACATCAAAATTTCGATGTTTTGTCAGCTCATCATGTTGCGGAAGAATCTTACTTCTCAGGAATTAAGAAGGTTTCCTAGAGAACTCCAAAACATTAGCCGTATTCACATTAGAAGACGGACAAGTCGTCTAGCTGAGATGAACAAATCGCCTCTCAAAAATCGACTTGTTCGTCTAAAATTTTGTTCGACACGTTTTCACATCTGATATTTGTTCGTCCAAAAGACGATTTTGAGATGATTTGTTCGTCTAGACGACTTGTCCGTCTTCTAATGTGAAAACGGCTAGTCACTCGGCATTATCTACGATGCCGTTAACATGATATGGGGCAGGATCTTTTACTTTTTACTCCGCTTTTCTTCCTATATAGGCTATAAATCAACCTCGTTCCAAGTTTTTGGAAAACGGGAACCCCAATGCCAGGGAAATGCCCTGAAATGAAATATTTTGGGGATAAAAATCTATGCGAGATATCTAAAAAAATATAGATAAAAATCTATATTTCGATATGTACATCGTTATATTGAAAAATTGAAATGCCGGAAATGTAAAACCTCACATTGCTCGGACGTTTTGATCGAGACTAAGATTGACTGATTGAGAAAATTGCCACGTTTCCAGTGGAACCTTCGTAAGGAAGCTCAACGGTTTCGAAACGTCGAAGCTTACAATTATTCAATTAACATTCCGCCTTACTATTTTAAGGGTAGTATTTAGACAAGGTTTGCAGGTTGAGGGATTCTTCGAAAGTTCACCCACAAATGGCACAATTGAACACAATACCCTCTCAATTCTCAAATATGTTTGTCTCTAAACTAACAGGAACGATTATCTCTGGTTCTGGAAAAAAGTACCACTGTTACTTATGGATGCCAAATTCATTTCTAATAAATCTAAACAGCAGTATTCTAGCGATTTATGGCCTTTCAAAGACAAGCGAAATTGTATTGTTGACTCGCTCAAAATATTAAACTAATTAAAGATTCAGTACGTATGATCCTTGATAACTTTCATGTTGTTGGTTATCTCTTTTTCGGACGTATACCAATGGTTCGTCTCACTTTTCTTTTCATTTTGATAGTATTTGGAACCCCAAATACTTCATTTTGAAGGTTTTAAAGCGAAGTTTTAATCCTAGCGTACGGACAAACTGCCGGGCGACAGGAGGAATGTAGTTAAAATGTAGTGTACTAAATTTTACTTGGATTCAGAAAGTTTTATTTGTGGGGCACCGCATTTTAGTACTGTGTCTGGTTCCGTGTAGGAGTCAAACACGAGGTTTGGATTTGATTACTGTAAATTATCCACGGAATGCTACCTGAATGATATATATGGTTTTCTATAGTACGATTGTATACCTTTCTCTGATTTCATAGTGTTCTTGACATAGTCATAAGCATCCTGAACATCCTTCGTGTCAGTGACGTCCATTTTTATAACATGTAAGTTCTTGCTACAACTGTTCCGAAGTGTTTGCTCTCCCTCATCAGTCAAACATGTCGCAATTACCGTGAACCCGAGGGAATCAAGTTGTTTCGCTGTATTCAGACCAAAACCTGAATCACAGCCTGTTATGAACACATACTTGCTGCTATCCGCTACAATATGGTCGGTCGATTTCTTCCAAAACTTGAAATAGATAACAAGTGTAACAACAACTATAGTTATATAAAGAAACATTCTGTGTTCTTCACTCGTACACCTGCAAGAACGATACTTGAGTTGAAATGAACTGGAGGTTATCTATACTTTCCCGTCATAGATATCACGTGAATGGGATTGTAAGCTTTTATATATCTGCTTAATTTCACGGTACGTTTACCTACACTTGACCTGATGACGTTTTCTCATTGGCTTTCTGAAATAAAAATGATCCGTAATGATTGTAATCTTCTGATAAAAATAAGAGCCCAGCATTAATACTTTAATTAAATAGAGCCAATACTTTAATTAAATAGAGCCATACACACAAATATATATATATATATATATATATATATATATATATATATATATATATATATATATATATATATATATATATATATATATATATATAAAGTTACAGTATATCAAGGATTATGAATAAATTTACTATTTATAGTTAATATTACAAGGTAATAAAAACATTGAAATGAGACTGGGGGCGGGAATCAGAGAAGGAAGGCAGGAGTGTATTATAAGGCATAAGTAGTGAAGCCTGGTACTAGCAATTTTGTAGGTGATAATTAGGAAGGTTTGAGTTTGGAAATTCAAAGACTTTCATGAGTTAGAAGTTCATCAGAGTTGACGCAAGGAAGAAGGAATTTTGAAGATCAATGGCCAGTGGTTTGGAGGTGCGAAATGATTCTTGTAAGTGTGGGATACTACTCTCTTTGCCTGTTAAGGCGAAAACACCCATGTTGTAAATGACGAAACGTTGGACCCACGTGGGACTGACGGCAGTGAGAGCAATAATCCCACACGCACAAGCATTCTTTCGCATCTCAAAACAACTGGCCACTCAGTTTCGATTGATGACTTTTCTAAGCCTACTCTGATGAACTTCCTAACTTGCGGAAGTCTTTTAGTTTCCAAACTCAAACTTTTCGTAATTCTGTCCCTCTTTTCCTTCTCTAATTCCGGCCTTCCTACTCTAATTCCGCTTCGACTCTCATTTCGTTGTTTTATGTATCTATAATTCAATTCTTGTTGTATTTAAAGCTATTTTAACACCTACGCTTTGTTTCTCATTTTCTGTATCTACATAAAAATCGCTATCTTATTGCGATAATATTATGATATGTTGTGCCCATTATATCATCAGTAATTAAATAACATCGCACAAAAAGACGACTATGCGGTTATCAATTAACGGTGCGCATTCAGTTCTCTTTTCCTCTTAGCATTCAGCTATCTTTTCCGCAATTTTAATCTGCATTATAAGTCGAATTATAATGTCTGCATTATAAGTCGAATTATAATGTCGGCATTATAAGTCGAATATATTTATAATGTTTATAATGACGATTAAGTCAGATATAAAGTATGAAACACATGTTGTGCACGTGCGTGCTATCGGATTACTCACAAAACAATGGACATTGCGTCAACTTTCCGATTAATGACAATTTGAAAGCTTTTCGCATTTTCCTGAAGATGCCCGTTAAAATATAGTTGAAATGAAAGTGTATAAGAATATGATCAGTTTACGGAGTGTTAGATCTACAAGTTACAAACAAATTTCGAGTGGAAATTTAATACATTTATTTAGACCTATAACCAGCTGCAGCTACAAACAATGCAACTATATACAACTCCGGGGAAGCGCCCTAACCAATGGACCATTTGCATTATAGACTAAATTTTGATCTAAACAAAAATTTCATCACAGCTTGAAAGAGCATCACAAAATTAGTAATATTCCAAAGTTTTATTGCGAAATGTTGTAAAATACGGATAATATAGCCTTGCGAAATTTGCAATTTTCAGTCATTTTGTATTACAAACGGGAAATTGATGCACCAACACCCGATTGGGCTGTCAATTTCCCGTGCGTAATACAAAATGACTGAAAAACGGCAAACTTCGCAAGGCTATATTATCCGCAGTTTACAACATTTCGCAACGAAACTTTGGAATATTACTAATTTTTTCTAGATCAAAATTTAGTCTATAATGCAAATGGTCCATTGATTCGTAGGTTCGATTCCCACCGTGGCCTGGCATATTTTTCAAGCTTGCCCAGTGTGGATATACACTCAGAGTAACATCACAAGCATTATATTTACCTGTTTAATTCGGGGTTTTTCTTTGTATTATGTACTATTTAAAGCACGCGTAGGAGTGTTTTATCACATATAAAACACGACGCGTAGCGGAGTGTTTTATATGTGATAAAACACTCCTACGAGTGCTTTAAATAGCTTAAAAAAACGACCCATCTTCTGATGAGTACATTAGCGAAGTAATTTTTAAAATAAACTTTGTCTAAACCGAGAAAATCAAAGCTAAAGCTTATGTAAATTAACATGATTTTATATCACATATAAAACCACGACATTATGACGTCATGCTGTGTATCTATAACTGAACAGACAACGGCAAAATCTTATCTATACTTGTTAAATAGATCTATATTATATATAGACATGCAGGAGTACAGTTGCAGAAAATGCGACTATATATATAGGCCCTCTGGCATGTATGCTCCTGGCCATTAGGTCTAAATAAATGTAAAAACCGTTCAATAGTATGTCGTTCAATCGACAATGCCCTCCCCCCCCCCAAAAAAAAACCCCAAAAACCTGAGAAGTTGCAAACAAGTCTGCAAATAATATTGAACTATCAGCGCAAATTTATATCTTTCCATGTTTCTGCATGTGTAGCCATTTACTATATATAAATCATAAATATTTTAGTTCAGACAGTTTCGACTGAGCATGCACAGGAGCGTCAATGAGTCGTAACATATATATCAATTAAATGAATCATTCAAATATCCATTCATGTTTTACACTATTATTATTATTATTTTATTATTTTTTAAGCGGTCTGGCACATTTTGTCTTACTTAGTAATAATGGAATATTTTTTTAACATGAGCAAGCCGACGCGGTCCAAAAATTCTGAATTTATCAGCTTCGCCATACATAATAAGTATACAAGATTACAAGAGAACACTATATAAAGTTACTAAAATAAAAAAAAACATTGAAAAAGTGGCAGGGACACAGTGGGTAGCCAATTAATTCTTGTTCTAAAAAGGCTATTTTGCATATTTAATAAAATAAGACCAGTTTCAGACGTCTGAATTCTCATGTGCGTAATATAATGTAAATGACCTAAACTTTTGTTTGAACTCGTACTCATAGTCATATTTTTGGCCATAGGCATAGCATGAAAAGTTCGACGTTTGAAATTGCCCTCAAAGCCTTCCTCTCGTATATGTCATCGATAATCGACAATGTTCAGTGCCATGGATCAATAAAATCCTTTGTCTACCATCATTTTGTCCTTCGATATTCACTGCCAATGGCCCACGAGTGCATCGCCGACCATTGGATGGATTCACAGCTGCAACTCCGAAGTCCGAACTAGCTTATCGGCTGAAACTCTTATATTTCCGGGATATATTGAGCTCGCTGGATTTCATGACCCATAACATTTCAGGACTTGAAAGACTATCTTCTTCACCTGCAGTTTAGCAAAACAAACACCAGTGGAAGTGTATATATATATTAAAAGCTTAAAAGCTTGGGTAGAGTAGCAACACATATTACAGTATTCACATATATACTGTTTCTTTCCAAATGAACGTTGCCATTGAGAATTTCAACATATTTCTGAGCACATGCAATCCTTCAATTTAGTCCAAAGTCTTAATTTAAATTGGTGGTTCAGTGTCATGCAGTCGTGATGTAGATTTATTGTTGACAATCGTCAACTATACTAACTCGGGAAAAGTCAGACTCCTCTCCTTTCCAGGCTGACGACAACTATATATATACGTTTTCCTTGTCTTTCACCTTTTCCAGGGACTTTCTCTTTTTGTCTCAAATGTCTTCCATAACTGTTCGTCCAAAGATGAGATAGGGATGGAAAGTGGAAGTAAATCACCGATAGTTAATATCGTGAATGATCCATTTCTATAAAACATTTCTATATAGTAAGCTTATAAACAAATTTAAAACTTATATAATTGCATAAAGGCCCGTTCAAACAGACCCAACAATGTTAGCGTAACATCATACAAGAATGCCGAAATATTTCGTTTTACTGTATAGTTTCCCAATCTTGGAAAAAAAAGATAAAATTTATTCAAATTGAAAACCTGCGCTTCAAAATATTTGTGAAAGAAACAGTTCATCACATTATTTGAAAATTAGTGGATTTTCGTATTCCGTATAATCATCAGATACGACTTACTCGACAACTTCGTTTTCTTCAAGCAAATTTGAACGTTGTAATGCCACAGCCACTTGGTGCTAAAAATACAATATCATGGATGCATGTAAACATTTTTCTTGCGAAATGAGATACCTTTGTTTAAATCTCACACTGATCTAGAATAACGAAAGCCAGCCCTTGAGCACTCTTTAAATAAATCGGTTCGTTCTTAGAAAAAGAAGACTGAATATCTAATTAGTTTTTCTTCCCACTGAAGTTTAAAGTGTGGGATAGCCCAAAGGGTTTCAAATATTTAATTTTATTCGAATTTTAAATTCTTCTTCAAAACATCTCAGACTTACCTCCTCATCCAGCTTCGTTTCTTCAAAACACCAATCATCACATAACTTATTGTCCAAGAAAAGTTTCGTATCTTTTGCCACCGTCTGAAAGTTTGAAATGTGTACTTGAGTGGTGGGTTTTTTATTTCGCGACACTTTCAATCGCTATAGCTCTGATCTTCGTCATTGCATGCACTTATTTGCGATCTATAATTATACCCAAGCTTATATGGATCGACAATAGATAACAAACATGTTGCCATAATTGTACCCGATCAAACAAAACACTATACCCTACTTGTATTTAGTATAATTTCAGTATTGAAAAATGGCCTTTGAGCATTCTGGTTGGCTCCCTCAGCAGTAACTCTGAGCAATAGTTATTGCTTTGAGCAGTAACTATTGCTTTTCCCAAAAACTGACTGGCTGAAATTCAGACGGAAGTAAAATATTTATGGCAGTTATATTCATAAAATAAATATGCACGTACGGTATTAGTTGTATTTATAAAGAAATGGAAATTTCACTCAAATATGTAACTTTTGCGAGTTTGTTTAAGTTAAAATCTTTTTTATTTCAAAAAAGATAAATGCCATATTTTCCACCCGAACTCAACTTTTGCTTGTGTTTTGCGCGGCCGCCATGTTTGTTTTGTTTTGTCTTGAAGCAATCTGTGACCATTACTTGACGACTGCTTTAAGCTGATCAATTGGTTGATTTTAGATCCAATCACAGTCGAGTAATATTTTTATGTAATATTTTAGGTTAAATTCAAAACATCATGGTTATTAAATAAATGTAATATAATTTAATTTTATACGGCGAGTTAAGCTGACCTTACTGTCCAACTCAATAGACTGAGGAGTGATATGGAATTCAATAGACTGAAGTTTCTTCAACAATCCAATACCAACACCTAGAGCTTTCACATAACTTTCCTTTAAGCACTAGAAGATCAAATTCAACTATTTTAGGTATCTCAGTGGTTCAGATTTTATTTCCAGCCCTATATGTTTCGAGGTAGCGTAGGAAGTCCTGATATTCTGAACATGTTCAGAACGGACAATACACCCTTTCGATAATTACGTCATTTGGCCTGGGAGCCTCGCTCTCATGAACCGTGAGCCAATCACCTTAGGTAACTTACTAATGAGAGCGAGGCTCCAGGACCAAAAAGTATGCGTGACGTAATTATCGAAAGGGTGTATTGTTGCCGTATTGTTAAGGCTGCTTTCAAGTTAAGCAATTTTCGTACGTGTGTATACACACACGGAAAAGTTTAAATCCACTTAAAAATTCTTAATAAGAAATAATTAAATGAATAAAAAGACGGCATTTGGTTTTGTGTATGACTTAATGTGTATTTGTTGAGATATTTAGTATTTATATAGAATTTAGAAAGATTTAAACTTTTCCGTGCAAAACGTACGTGTGAGAAACGCTTAACTGGAAAGCATGCATATATACAGCCTTTCTAAAAGTATGTGGGTTTGTCTTAATAAAATGAATGTGTCATTTTATAGGACCTTGAAATGAGAGATTTTAAAAGGACGACATCTTGCAATGCATGGTTATATATATATGTGCAACATACAAGCATAAATATATATAATATATATATATATATATATATTATATATATATATATATATATATATATATATATATATATATATATATATATATATATATATATATATAGATTACTTTCATCCTGCTCATCAGCATTACCCTGATGAGGCCCATAAGGCCGAAACGGTACCGTCTGTAGTTAGATATCGCTCTATGGCCTTTAGGTCATATTCAGCGCTCTACAGGATGAGCCATGCCGCTTACGCATTGCGCACGCTCACTGTTTGCAGTTTGAGCGCTCTGGCATGGTTTTGATGTCCCACAATCGTGAGGCATCAAAGGTAACTATAAATAAGAGTTACTTTCATCCTGCTCATCAGCACTACACTGATGAGGCCCATTAGGCCGAAACGGTACCGTCTGTAGTTATATATATATATATAAATTTAGGTACCGTTGGAATAATTATAAAGCCTGCCACAAAAAGGCAGTTAATAACGAGGCTTATACACAAATGTTTTTCCATCAACATTTCTTGGGTAATGGACATAATGGATTGATTAGTGATTGCGAGATTGTTTTAATTGATAAAACTGACCCAGCGGAACCGACCAGACGTGAGGCATTTTGGATAAGTAAACTAAAGACAATGCATCCTTCGGGATTGAACATAGAGAATGCGTAGCAATGTTAATTATAGTTAACAGGATATTGTTATTTGTATGGTAAATCACAAATAACCATATTATGTATAATTAGCAAAATTGGGAGGGTATAAATTGGGTTCGCCTGTTAAGTAAGATTATATTTGATGAAGACAATAAAGTCGAAACGTTACGTTATGTGTTGATTAATTTATATATATATATATATATATATATATATATATATATATATATATATATATATATATATATATATATATATATATAATAATAATTTAATATTTTAATATTATTGCCTGATGATTGCTTCTTGCATGAAACTTAAAGTAGCAACTTATTCAATTGAAAAATTGTATTAAAATATTAAATTATTATTATATGCTCTACAATTGTCTTGGATTGAGCACTCTTTATTCTTAAAAACGGGAAATTACTTTATGAAATTATATATATATATATATATATATATATATATATATATATATATATATATATATATATATATATATATATATATATATATATATATATATACATAAAAAATACACAAAGTATATTTTCCAAACGTTTCGCCTATTACGGCTTCTTCAGTGGAATGTCTTACAATAATATTTCCTCCTATTTATATAAAACTAATTAAAATACTAAATTTACAATAAGTATGCTAATGTATATGAAAACATGCAAAACATGCAATTGATTTATTGTCCCGTAGGCTAGTTTAAAATACTATACAATGTTAATAGATTAAAATAATTCAAACACTAATTATTCTGCCAGTACAACCGTTCATCAAGTCTCCAGAAACATTCTGGAGACTTGATGGAGACTTGAAACATTTTAATTAGTTTTATATAAATAGGAGGAAATATTATTGTAAAAACATTCCACTGAAGAAGCCGTAATACGCGAAACGTTTGGATAATACACTTTGTGTATTTTTTATGTCTGAAGAAATCTTATAAGCCAATATATATATATATATATATATATATATATATATATATATATATATATATATATATATATATATATATATATATATATATATATATATAATATAATACCTACTAATGATATTCAGTTTTTTGTTAGCGTTCCTCCCAACATGGCCGCATGATGTCAAGTGCAAATCAAGAATATATGAAAACATGCATTTTGCACATTCTTGCAGAGTTTTCTATGCATGAAGACAAAGAGTTCGGCTTTACTATAATGGAAGAGAATTGTTGCCATATAGTTTATAATCTGCATGCATGCGATTGATGAGACTTTGATGCAGCCTAGACCTATATAGGCCTTCTATCTTTATTTTTATTCTTATTTTTAATATTCAGCGCTTTTTCACATGAGAAGACTGGGACCAAATGCTAGCCCGAAATTGACCAAACCCATCAACCCCAGGGTTCGGCTGCCAACGTAAGCCAGCCGAGGCGCCCTGGGAACGAGGATGTACCAAACCTGCCAAAGCTAGCCGAGTAAAGGCATGGTCTAGGCTGACTTTGTTGTATTATCGTATTAAAAGGTACTAGATTGTCTATTTTTGAGATCTCACATCACCCAAAACGACATATCAAATTATTATAATTATATACGCCGTAAAAACCCTACCAACCCAATGTCTCATAAACATTTCTAACTGCTTTCGTTCAGAAGGACGTTGCTTTATAGTTTGCCATTCATAAGAAGTAAATTGACGTCTCATCGTGTGGAAGAATTCTGCCACTGTTTGATTACCTATATACATGGAAAATATCATGCATGCATGATGTAAAATTGATATAAAGAGAGAATCTGATATGCGAATAAAGTAACAAACGTGTCTAGACTCTAAAGCACAACAAAAACAATGATATTATGATAGTGCACACCCTTAATTTCTGTCTTCATAACATCAATCCCAACTAAAACGAAAGTATATATTATATTAATTATAATTACCAATTGTTATTATTAATTAATGATATACATATATATTCGTGAACCAATAAACAACTTGCACGTTAGACTAATTTTTGATCTAGGCAAAAAAAGTAAATTTAATAAAAACTTATTAAAATTAGTAAAATTGCAAAATTTGGTTACGAAATGTTGTAAAACATGGAAAATATAGCCTTGCGAAGTTTGAATATTTTGTATATGTTTTTGTATACGTGCGGAAATTGTTACCATTTTTGAGCCGAAAAAGGTAATAATTTCCGCACGTAATACAAACATATACAAAATTTGAAAACTTTGCAAGACTATATTTTCCAAGCTTTACAACATTTCGCAACCAAATTTTGCAATTTTACTAATTTCATTATGTTCTTGTTAGCTATGGTGTTTGATTCCGTTCTCTTTACTTAGATTAAATTTTGGCCTAACCGATGCAAGTTGTCCATTTGTACTTATGATATATATGCAATGAGGAAATACGTGTCATACCATTTGCAGACGATTCAGCAGCAAGGACAACAAAATCACCCTGATAGGAACAAAAATAATCCCAAAAGTCTAAAAATGCTTTCCAAATATATCAAGATATGTTCAGCTGTTTTATAGTCAGTTCTATACATACCTGATGGGAAACGTTGAAATATAGATTATCTTTTGCATCCAACTGGAAAAAAAACCACTTTATTTTAATGTACTTATACAGTATACCCTAGCTGATCAACGCAAAACACAAACCATACAGGAAACCCAATGACGATCCATTGTATACATCAACAGACACTCAAACCATCCACCAAGCATTACAAGACAATTACCTACAGCTATCAACAAACGCATTGCACTTCTCTCATCGGACGAACAAACATTTAAGAAATCTACACCTATTTACCAGAACGCTCTTAGACATAGTAACTTTGATCATGAATTTACGTACACTCAGGATGCACCGCAACGGACACGTAGGAATAGGCAACGCAACATAATTTGGTTCAACCCACCATTTAGTAAGTGTTAACACGAACATAGGACGGGAATTCTTAAGTTTAATTGACAAACACTTCCCACTACAACACAAACTACACAAGATTTTTAACAGAAACACTTTAATAGTAAGCTACAGTTGCATGAACAACGTTAAGTCTATAATCACCAAACAGAACCCACATATAATTAGGAACAGTCAATCACAGAATACGGAAACTGACAACTGCAACTGCGACAACAAAAACACTTGCCCACCACCGAAACAATGTATGACCAACAACATTATTTACAAAGCCACAGTCACAACGAAGAATACGAACGACACTAAACACTACATTGGTATGACAGCGACTACATTTAAGGAACGTTATACGCTAACCACACTTCATCTTTTCGTCATAAAAAAAGACTCAAACAAAACGGAACGTTCGAAACATATTTGGAAATTAAAAGAAAACAATCAGGATTATACCATCAAATGGTCAATTTTAAAACACGCTATTTCGTACACAGGGGGGTCAAAACGCTGCAATTTATGTTTGGAAGAAAAATTTTGCATTTTGAAAGACATAAACAAAGACAATTTACTCAATAAAAGAAGCGAAATTTTCGGCAAATGTCGTCACAAAAACCGGTTTGGAGTAAACAAGGTCGTTAACAAAACCTAATGACCTAAGCATGCATTGTTTCACCTATGTATTGTTTCGCCTACACGCATTCCTATATATATATATATATATATATATATATATATATATATATATATATATATATATATATATATATATATATATATATATATATATATATATATATATATATACCGGGTGTCCCAAAAAAAACTATACCCTGTTTGCTTTCATGTAACGTAAAACCTACGAAAGCTATTTCACTTAAATAAAAAGCATTGTATTCACAAAGGATTGACTTAGATTTTGATATATAACATTTAAATTTTCGTGCGATATTGACAGAGCTATTGACGTTTCAAAATTGAACTACCTTTTTGAAAAGGTAAAAAATTAGCATCAAACAGCATATCAAATTCCAATTTAGTTTATACTTGTTGACTCTTTCTATTCTAGCTAAAAGATGCATTTATGAATTATGTACAAAAGGATTAACGTTATATTATGAGTTTATTCATGATGAAAAGCATGTATTTGAGCCTGAAAGCACCGTTGTGCTCTAGAAATCATGTCATCAAAAGCGTTTTGAATCATTTGTTAATCCAAAAAATCTAATCGGCAATATTTATTTAAGCCCATACAAGGGACATCAAATGGAACTTTCTTTTAACGTGAATTACTACTTTGTAAGAATCAATCCTTAAGAGTAATTTTTATTTTCAAAAGTAAATTTGCAAGGGAATAACCTAAAATTAAAGATAAAATCACTGAAGTTAAAAAGATTCCATGCATGTAAAGTGATAACTTCTTTGATGCGACGATTTTTGTTGTTTTTTCGCCAATTTCTAAAACTCCTCGCAACTTCAGATACTTGTATTTCTGTCAATATCGCACGGAAAATTAAATGTTATATATCAAAATCTAAGTTAATCCTTTGTGAATACAACGGGTTTTATTATACTGAAATAGCTTTTATAGGTTTTATATTACATGAAATCAAACAGGGTATAGCTAACATTGAACGTAAAATATGTTCCAAACTATCTGGTTTTAAAAAGGCAGGTATTTTGTCTCAAACACTTCATAATTGTTTGAGACATTCAGCTACTGTTTGTCCAAAATTTTATGGTTTGCCTAAGATACATAAACCTAATGTCCCACTAAGACCTATTGTAGCGTCCATAGGTTCGCCAACGTATGCTCTGGCTAAATATCTCGCTGAGATATTGAAACCAGTTGTTGGAAAAACAGAACATCATGTAGTAAATTCTAAAGAATTTGTAACAAAAATGGAACAAATTAGATTGGGTAAGAATGACATTCTGGTAAGTTTTGACGTAGTTATAGCTTGTTCACTAATGTTCCAGTTGAAGAGGCTTGTAATGTCGCGAAAGAAAGACTTCTTTCAGATATTACTTTATCTCAAAGAACTAATCTTTCTCCTGAGAATGTTCATGATTTGTTGAAACTATGTTTGACCACGACATGTTTTCAATGGCGGGAGAAATTCTATGAACAAACAAACGGCGCTCCAATGGGAAGTCCATTGTCGCCTGTTATGGCTAATTTGTTCATGGAGGAATTTGAAAAGAAGGCCTTAGCTACTGCAAAGTTGAAACCTGGTTTCTGGTTCGGATACGTGGATGATACATTGAGTAGCTGGTCTCATGGACTAGATAATCTACAAAAGTTTCTAGACCACATTAATAGTTTGCATCCATCGATCAAGTTTACTTTTGAAGTACAGAAGGATGATAAAACTATACCTTTCTTAGATGTTCTTTTCACTATACATGATGATGGATCGCTAGGACATAAGGTTTATAGGAAACCAACACATACAGACAGGTATCTGCATTATAATTCATTTCATCATCCTAGTATCAAAAACTCTGTGTGTAAGACACTCATCAACCGAGCGAAAACAATTTGTGAGGTAAGTAACGTTGACAATGAATTAGAACATTTAAGAAATGTTCTAAAAACGAATGGTTACCCACGGCATTTCATAGATAATGCTATGAAAACGCCACAAAGTATACAGCAGAAGATTGAGTACCAGTCGTCTGTTTGTCTACCATACATTGGCCTGGCTTCACACAAAATCGAAAGAATTTTGAGAAATGAAGCAGGTATAAAGGTATACCATTCCAGCGAAAACAAATTGTTTCGAGCTCTTTGCACACATAAGGACAACGTAAATGAATCTCAGAAACCTGGTGTGTACCGCATTCCTTGTGAATGTGGTCTGGTTTACATTGGTGAAACTGGTCGAAATCTCTCAGTACGTCTTAAGGAACACAAGACGAATTGCGAGAAAGCCGAGCAAGATAAATCTGCTGTGGCTAAACATACTTGGACTCACGACCATCGTATAAAATGGGACGAAGCAACCATTTTGGCGATTGATAGTTATAAGTTCTCTCGCAAAATGAGAGAGTCAATTGAAATCGAGAAGCACAATACTATAGATCAGGAGGGAAAGCCACTATAGATAGTACGTGGCGTGCTCTCTTTAATGTGCAAAATTAATTTCTCTTGTCTTGGATGCGCGCGCGTTAATTGGAATCACTTCACTACGTTTGAAATGACGTGGTTGATGTGCCGTTTAATTAAATTTCAAATGACGTGAGTCAACAGATCACGACACTCTTGTATATAAAAAGAGCATATTTTGTGTTCAATATATAGACCACAGTAAGACTTTTTTTAAATGTTTATTTCATTAGCAATGCTACAAGTCTGCCGCAGGTTCGTTACAACTTGTGTGTTTTTACGTGTATACAAGAGGTAATCTAAACTGAACTACTCTAACTTTATTCATACTGGATTCAAATTGTAATCCTATTAACTACCTGAAGATGGAGTAAATCTCCGAAACGTCGTTTGTTAATGAAATAAACATTTAAAAAAAGTCTTACTGTGGTCTATATATTGAACACAAAATATACTATTAACATGAGACTAAGGGAAAGTTCGTTCCTAAACATTTTATAAAAAGAGCGTGTGAATTAAGCCAGGGTTGCCAGTTTGGCGTTAAAAGAGCCAAATTTCTCGATTTTGGCTTCTTTTGACTTCGTTTGGCTACTAAAAATTTCGTTTGGCTTCTTTCTATTTTTTGGCTCTTTAATTTTGGCTTCTTTTTGAATAAATACTGAAATAAGCAACTTTTCAAAAATAGTCTGCCATCCATCAGTAAAAGTTAATTATAAACTCTGCTATGTTCGATTACATTATCCATTTATCCGGGATTCCGGATGTACGTAAATATTCGATCGGAATTAATATCTTCTCCCTGGGCTTACGCGGTTCGCCCTGAACGGCGGGAAAACGAAAATGATAAAATACTCGTTTTTTCTTTACTGTTTTTCGGTGTTGAACGCTTGAATACGGAAGATTTACTCTAAATTTCGATTTTGGCTTCTTTTGGTCAGATTTGGCTACTTTTTACGTATCATTTGGCTCTTTCGGGCTCAGACCACCTGGCAACCCTGAATTAAACAAGTCACATATTATTAGCACTGATGAAGATCCGGGCTTGCGGATCGAAAGCTTTGCAGTAATAAATTTACGTGGTGTTTCCACAAACAAAAACAATTAACTGTATTACCGAAATCAGTAGAGTGTCTTTTCCGGAAGTTGAAAAGACAGTCAAAAGCTAGACTTGGATCAAAGTCCGTCTCAACAGAGTCCGAGTCGCGAAGCAACGAGAGACGGTTCCTCGGACTCTTGAGAGACGGACTTGATCCAAGTCTAGTCAAAAGCCAGCAGAAACGTTCATGTTTTATGACGTCACGATGAGAGAATGTAGCGTGGAACTTGTAAGTTATTTTACTTATTAGTAACTTTGCACTTCTTCTCCCAGTGCCTTCCCACGAATAAAGGTTCTCCCTAGTATGAGGCGGTTTCTACAAAAAACCGAAAACCGACCAAAAAAACCGAGTGAACATGTTTTTTTAAAAAATATGTTCGAAAATCGGTTTAAAAAAGACACAACACACGCTATTGAATATTTTAGACCTGTCTTCGCAGACGTCCGCCTTTATTACTA